CAAGTAATGCGATGCTAGAAGAAATCAAAAGGTTGTTATATGCCATTCATGACATAAGGCGCTGGATGAAAAGTTTTTTTTCAAGTTATTACTATATAGTTGTTGTATTTCTTTTTATCAATGAATCATATCCTTCCAAATCAACACAAACTACTCGTTTCTTGTGATCAACGTTATAAGCAAGCGATTAGCAAGGTGTTATTCAATAGTCATTTACATTAGCCTACAGCAGAAGCGAAAAGTTTTGTTATGTATGACTTAATCACAACGAAAAGGCTTTTATAGAAATCATACCCATGCAGAACAAGAAACTCTTATCATTTCTGATAATCGAATCGACAAGAGTTATACATAAGATATGATTCCACTATGACGAGACTCGAATACGGAGATATAACCCAGATCCAGCAATTCGCAATTCAAGTAATCCCAATAATACAAGGAGCTGAAGCAATTCAAGTAATTCAAAGAGATCAAGGAATTCAAGTAACCCCAGTAATTCAAGGAATCCAAGGAATTTAACGAAATCAAGAAATTGAAGAAATTCTATTGAATTGCTTGATTTACTTGAATTCCACTAAAGTGTTAAGGATAAGGATGCCTTGGGGTGTGGGTGTGGGTGAGTAGGTGTGGGTGGGTGGGTGTGGCTGAGGGTGTGGGATGTGGGTGTAGGAGTGGTTGATTATTGTTTACGCACACTCACACCCACACTCACCCACACCTACACTCACACCCACACCCACCCACACCTACACTCACACCCACACCCACCCACACCTACACTCACACTCACACCCACACACACCCACACCCTCACACCTACTCACACCCACACCCACACACACCCACACCCTCACACCTACCCACACCCACACCCTCACACCTACCCACACCCACACCTACCCACACCCACACCCACACACACCCACACCCTCACACCTACCCACACCCACACCCACCCACGCCCACACCCTCACACCTATCCACACCCACACACGCCCACACGCAACCACACTCACACCCACCCATGCCCACACTCACCCACACCCTCACACCTACCCACACACACCCCACAGCCACACCCCAGCCCACACCCACACCCGACACATATATGCTATATTAATGATCATAGAAAAATATAGGCATATGTGGAATTTAGTGAATATAGATTGATGTCATTTTGTAGCTTATTGTCATTTCCTCTCAAATGATTCAGGACACTGTTCATGATGCATTTTAATTACTTGCATCAATGCCCTTCTGAATGCGGTCTGCTCATCGATTGTCATGTCCGGAAAAATTTCTCGATTACGCCAAATATCATCAGCAAGTATATCACGTGGTGTCTTTCGTGTATTGATGTATTGCTCTTTGATTTGCTTTTCCTTCAGTGTTTTAATTTTCGTATGATAATTTCTTCGAATAGCAATACACACACCGTATTCTGGATTGTAATTTGGAACACACATGGTTCCCACTTTCTGCTGTATTACGTGATGAATTTCAAGACCATCGCCGACTTCGCTACGTTTTTTCAGGTCATGATAGGTACCTACTTCGAATTCAACAACAGGGTTCTTTGGAATTTCCAATGTTTTCGAGGCTAAAAGGAAACAAGAAAAGAATTAGTGAAAGTCTATTGTCTGCACCATTACTTTTTCGCGAGATCGGTTTTCATCTTTTCTCTACATTCTATAAACGTTTCAGTCGAAGGCTAATTTTATCCCTGAAAAGTCAATAAGAGCTAAGTTACGAACAATTTACAGTGTAATGTGACGATCGCTCTAGTAGAACTGATTACTTTTCAACTTACTTCTCTGTTTTTCAGGAGCCGTGTTATTGTTTCGATACCGGGACCGTTGTGTTTTGTCTGATTCTGCTTTAGCTTTAATATCTCGAGATCGCTTTGACACTTGATTAGCGTTTGGAGTTGTTGTTGATTTCTTCGATTTCTCTATTTCATTTTTTAAGTTGTTTTTTTCTACAAGCGTTGGATTTAGCAACACACCTCCATACACTTTCATATCTAAGCTCGGTGAAAACGCTGCTGGTACCCAAAAACATTGTTTCTTATCATTATCCAATCGTCTTTCATCATCATCATCATCACCATCATAATGCAATTTTAGTTTCTCAATAGTAAATTTCAATTTTGCTTTGCGTTGTATCAATGATTGTTTTAAATACGTTTCGAGTTCTCTCTGGTGATTGTATTTTAACCAGTCTAGAAGGTATGGTTTAAGATTACTTTTTTTGCAGAAGTAGTTTTTGTATAAGCTATTAGATAGGCTATTCAAAATTTCTTCATCCGTTTTCTCATATCCAGTCGGATATCTACCAATTTTTCTTTTAATTTCGGTGAGATGATCTCGAAGAGTAGTATCATTTTCAATTTGTGCAATAAAATTGCATTGACTTTCATAGCGTGCTTGAATGATACGTGATAAAACACTTAATTTCAATAATTCTTTTAAACGCAGCAATTCAGGAAAGTATTGTCCGATCTCATCATAGTATTTTGTAAAAATACGTGCAAACTCAGCTTCAGCCGACTGATCGTTCTCGTCATCACTTGAATCGTCAATTAAATTACCGTGTTCATCATATTTCATTCGATGTTTTTTTACACACATCTTAACTTTGTCACTTAAATAATAATGTATGATATTTTCATTCTTACGACCGAAAAAGTTTTTGTGAAATACTTGTTCGTATTCAATGTTTGATTCTAACTGTATCCAAAAACGATGAATACTGTCAATCAGAGGTCCCTTATGTTTCATCGCTATTGACTGTAACTCTTCGCGTATATGTGCTGGCAATCGTTGCATTAAATTTTCCGATGACGAACGCATTTCAAATGGAGTTAGTGAACAGATTTCGACACCAGTCGAAATCATTTTTAATAGATAATCAGTATGTAATAGTGTAAGTAAATAGTTCGGTACTTTAACCAAACGTTTTGGCAAATATCTCATTTCATTAAACGGATGCGAATGATATTGAGCATTCGGAGGATCCAATGTAAAACAAGCATAGGTAATACCATTTGTTAACACATCCATAACATCCATCGCATCAAATAATTTATGTTCAGTTTTTTTGGCTTCTGTAAACATAAATTCAATATCACCTGTATCATTGTTGAGTGTGACACCAATAACCTCTGCATATCCTGACTGATCTAATTGTAATTCATGTTTGATACTCAAGTACCATCCATCATGTGTTCTTGGTATCATAGGCCAACGAAGTAGATCTGCGACGTCATATGTTGTCCATTGATAATCTCTTAACAACAAGTGCATACAACAATAGCGTTCGTAATCAAAATCTTCATCACTGATCCAACCTTTCCAAATGCCTTCGAAAAAATAATATTGATACATCGAATTCTCTGCTGCCAATGATTTTAAGTATTTGGATAGAAATTCGTTACCAGCACACCCCATGTAAACCATATCATAAGATAAAGCTGTTGGTGGTACATGTGTAAATGGAGTAACCTTTGAGAGTTGTAGAATGCTTTTCAATAATTCATCAAGGATCGTTTCATGAAAATCATTTAAAATCGGTTGACTCACAATGGTTGGTTTTAAACTACCCGATGATATTAATCGTTTAGTAAACAAATTTGTCGAACACATAATCAATGTGTATAATAATTTATAGGCATACATTTGAAAGTATAATGGTAAATAGTGCCGTGTTAGAAGAAATAGTTCGATGGATATATCAAATATAATAGAACGATAGGCATAAAGTTCTGCTAATGTGCATTCCGTTTGATTCATGAGTTTAAAGAAATACAGACATGCCATTATTAAATTATTCATCAAAAGTGTTCCACTTCCTGTTACAGCCATACTTAAATCCATGTAAGAATAGGCTGCTTGAATGGGATCATTCTCAGCTAACCGCTTCAGTATCGCACGTTCATATTTCTTCAGCATAAGCAAATACTCCGTTCTATTCAAAAATGTTAAGTTCATCATTGTGATTGGCGGAGTTATATCTACTAGATCGAGCGATCGTTTTTTAATATCATTGATTAATGTTTGACGTGATGTTGAATGAAAATTTGAATGATTCATATAGATAACGAGACCGCCTATTACAGCATCATATGGATGGCATAGTAACGCGTCATGAGCACTCTGTAGAGATTTTTCTAGTTGATTTTCAAATTTAAATATAACTGCTTGTATTAAATACATTTTTGAGCGATATTCAGATGGTTGAACTTCTGATAATTGTAAACGACCAAGGCATTGATGAAATAGTTGCTTTAATTGTTCGAGAAAATAATAGTTTGGATTCAATAGGACTTTAATGAGTTCAACATAAGATTGATAAGTCGCAGCTTTAAGTGTTTCATATACTTGATTATGCAAATTAGTCAGAAATCTCTGATTCAAGTCTTTCAGATTACCTAATGCTGCATTGGATAAATTTTCAAAACTCGAAAGTATGTGCACTCCGCCATTGATTAACCGATCAGTCTCATCGTTTAGATCACCATGCTTTTTAATTTCATTCAAGAGCAAAAGATGGTATTTAAACAAGTCTATGTCTTTGAAAATATTATCCGTTTCGTATATCTTAACTGCTGATCGTATCAGTGCATTAACATTTGGATCCTGTTGCTTTGACAATACGAGACATATGTTATAGAAAACATTATTGCATAATAATGGATATTTCTTAGATAAAATCTAAACGAAAAGGAAACACTCTTTTATTGAAGATCTTCTGAAATGACTATATTGTTCTACTGTCAAATTTTGATTTTCTTCGCTCAAGAATAATATACCTTTGTATTATTTCCTCGCAACCGCTTATACACTACGATATAATACTGTAATGCAATTGGTAGTGGTAATGTAGATGATTGAACTTTTTCTACGATAATTTCATCGATTTTAGTTGATGGACACCATAGATAACAGTTCAATGCAATATCGTACTTTTTGTCACTAACATACCGGTCTCCCAGTTGTTTCCAATCATAGGGAGATTTGATGGCATTAAGCAATTCATATCCTACAGGACTAAAATTTTCAATAGCATTTATCAACCAGTCTAAATCATTATTTCGATTTATATATTCTGCCATTTTATGACATAATAATGCTTTAATGTAGCTTTTACCACTAACATATTGAGTTTTATATTCAATCCATGATGTATATCTGTACACATGGCATATGGTCAGTCCAATGACAATGCGATTTATAGAAGATGTTAACGTTTTGTAAACATCATTTAGCCAATCATCCAACAAAATTGTTGTACTACTTGATACCAATATTTTACTCAAAAAATAAACATAGCTGTTCGATGATATTAAAAGATTGATCCGTAGAGTATCATATAGATACGAGAGTAAATACGCCAATTTATTAAGCTGCTTTGTTTCAGCAAGTCCTTCAGCAATTGGGCACCATTGATCCACCGGTATAGTACCGTATAAATAAAAACAAAATATTGCAACACTGCCATCATATGTGGTTTCCAACAATGTTTTCTCTGCTAGTTGTTTCCAATTGATTTTATTATTATCACCATATTTAACATGAAGGTACAGCAAATAGAATAAACATGTATCCATATTATCAGATGATTTTCTAATTGCAAAATTAAATATTTGTTCAATTGTTAGTTTTGCACATTCATAGCATAGTAAAGCATATATAGAACTGTTTTGTAATACCGCTTGTTCCAACCAGAATTGACCGGATTTTTGACATAACTGCATGCATGTAAATGCATACGAATATTCTTTTTTATAGCAGAATTCAATTGAATATTTAAAATAGTCCTCGCTACTCGTTTTTGCATATGTAAAACACTGAAGTGTTAGAGAATAGTTGGCTAGTTGATAAAAATGCTCACCAGTTGTTCGGTAAAATGATTCATTTCCATCAGATTTATATAAATAGAGCAGTGCTAAATATTCTCTTAAATATTTTGTATAGTTTCTCTCAATTAAAAGTTTAACATCTGTGAAAATATGTTGATAGACGAATGTTTGTTTTTCATTTGAGCATTTCCGACAGATTCGAACTGGTAATTTGATATAGCCCAGATGTGGTATTCGTTTGAATAATAAACAATCGGAGCAGTGTTGATGACCACACATGCGACAGTAGTAACGACGATTAAAGAGTGAGAACGATTTATGACAGGTTTGACAATGGTTAGAAACGATTTCATTCGGTGGATTTTCTATGGGGTAACAAAAGTCATTTTTATTAATATACTGATTCGTTGTTGTCGTATAATCAAATAAATAATAATGACCTGTTGTTGTTCTTTGATCATTATTCTGTATTTTGGAAAAAATTCCTCGTTCCTCTTCTTGATCATATTTGTCGAAGATCTTTTTCAATTCTTTTACTTCGTCCATTACTGGTAAATAATCAATAATTGCTATCTGTGACAAAACTTTAGGTAATTTCATTAGTTCTAGTTGATTCTGTTGATATTTATCAATAAATAATGTCCAGTATCGTTCTGGTTTGCAAATGATTTCGACTGGATCTTTAAGTTGTTCAATTAAACTCAGTGATTCGCCCCATTCTTTCTGAGCGTTCCAGATAGGAAAATAAACTGATGTTTTTTCTACCGCCTTCCAATTCCATAGATCGATATCAATCGTTTCTTCGAGAGTTATTGGCTTCATTGTGTTACTGAATAAATTTTCATACGGTTCACAATTCTCACGTTCATGTAAATGTCTGTTTAAATATGATTGACGACAGACATTACATGAACCATACGTATCAATAGCATCAATCTTAGTGTTATTATCATTATCCATTTTCGTAATAATTTCTATAAATTTTTCATTGAAATTATTCCGAAATGATAAAGTCTCATATTCAGCTACATAGCGATCAATACGCGCTCGATAGGAATCCGAAATCTTTTCTCCCATGATTAGCCTAGAAAAGGTACCAAGAGTCTACGCTATTATAAACTCTTCTATTCAATATTGGGTGCTTTACCTCATCTGAGTGTTTTTTGATGCAGAAAATATTTCATCATCATCTTCGTTGTCATCTGTCTGATCAAAATCGGCGTCTGTATCATATTCTGCTCGTCGTTTATCATCGTATAGTGTTTCATAGGCTGATTTCATCGACTGAAACAGTTTGGTCGTACTTGTATTCTTGTTTTTATCTGGATGAAATTCACGTGCTCGACGAAAATAGGCCTTGCGAATTTCTTCCTTGGTAGCATTTGAATTAACATTTAACAATTTATAAAAATCAGTTTCATTGATGTTAATAAATGTATCACTAGAATATATTGAATCTTAGAACTGTATGTTTCCTCTCATATTTTTAAAACCGTATTAAAGTAATTAAACTCGAAAAAAAACACGATACAGATGTATATTAACTCGTATAACGGTTACCTGCTTTTGTCGTATTCACCATCTTCTTCATCATCTGTATCCTCTGTCTTGTATTCATTGCTTGTTGCCATCTTTTCCAATGATAAAATAAGCTATTCTTCGGCTTGAGACAGAAAGTCCTTCAAATAAAAAAGTATTTTAGATAAGCGAAGACGTTATCTCATTTCGAGATGCAAAGTAGCTTGCATAACAGATAAGGTACGAAAGCAACACGCTTTCAGAGTCCGCGAATCGTTTTTCTACTTTCAGGTGTGCCACTGGAACCAGCAATGGGTTCGACTCGGTTTCACATCTGGGTGCGGGGATGAGGTGTATTGGTGTGGGGTGTGAGTATGAGTGTGGATGTGTGGGTGTGTGTGGGGTATGGGTGTGGGTGTGGGCGTGGGTGTGGGATGTAGGTGTGGGGGTGGTGTAAATATCAGATAAAAGTGCACCCACCCTCACACCCACACCCAACTGTATAGTAACCAATCACATATACGGTCAAGTGGGAGAAATTTGTTAAGTAGACAGTAGGTGTACACAGAGGGCGTTATGTTCTGGTTTAATACTATGCGTTAGCAATAATAGAAGACAATATATCGAACTTGGTATAACAGAGAAAAAGTTTACTTTAATTTTTAATCATATACTAATACACTTGAGCTAATTCAGTTTACTCGGTATATATACCAAGTACCTTAGTTCACTTGCAATTCATTTCAATAAAATTGGCGAATGACTACTGCGACATTCGCCAGTAAAAAATAAATTTTGCATTATCATGTTCGCCAATTGGCGATAAGATTTTACCCCATTATAAACTAAGAAGTGGTCAGTTGAACAAGCATCAAATTATGTATACTAATACTTTTTGTGTAGATAAAATAGAGCGGTTCAATAAACGCATTGAATTGATGTCGCATTGTTACCGTAGAAGTATCTGAATTCAATTTTCATTGTGAGGTGACTACTTGTGTTATTTCTCAAGAGAGCGTCAAGAAGAACTTTCTTGTTAATCATATTTCTTTTGATTTGTCTTCGATTACAGTTTAAAATGGATACATATCCATTGAATATTTATAATAAGGTTGAATTAATTCCTTGTCTTCAAGATAATCCAGGATGATTTAAGAAAATACTCCTGTATTTTGGAATTTAATTTGATTAACAGTCATGTATTAAATATCAATTATGTAGCTCTTTTCTAGAATGTAGATGAGAATTATGACAGAATGTTCTTTTAGCCAGTGTCCATACCTATACCCTACAACCGTAAACGATGTCTGATGGAAGCAAAAAAGTGAGTGTTGCATGATCAGATCGTTTATGAACATCGTTTTTATGCCGTACCAATCTTCGTTTTTCAGAGTGAATGATCAAATATTTACTTTGTTACATCTTTATACAAATTATTAATAAAAATATGAAATTTGTACAATAATCAAGCATGTATTATAGTCTTCGAACTTGAATTATTTCTATTTGATTGGTACGTCTCAATCACCGCCACCTCCACAGCCCCCTCCACATCCTCCGCCACCACATCCTCCGCCGTCGCATCCTCCGCCGCCACATCCTCCACCACCATCACAACCTCCACCGCCACAACTTGATCCACAACCGCCTCCAATTGCTCCGCATGACGATGCTCCACCACCACTCGAAATGTGAATCGGCACGAAAACCATAGCACATGAACTCATGTATCGTGATGTTTCTAAATGTCTTCTATCAATATTTTGGCCATATTCTAATTTATAAGTCTTTTTCCATCGTTTAGCAGTTTTCTGATAAGCATGTGTTAAAATATTTGACTCAATTGCATCATTATGATCAAGAATAAAACCACATAAAGCTGTTGAAACAGTTTGATATTGTGATGGATATCTCATATGTGTATGCCATATCAAATCAATGTCAAATGTTGGTACGATCATTTCATTTTTCTGAGCCAATTTTATAAATGATACATAATTTTGTACCAAATGTTCAAAATCCGAACGATTCATCTTTTTTAAGTCGAATGAATAAAGATAATGTTCTTGAAATTTTTCAAGAAAATCACGTTGACGAATGATGGCTTTTCTCAAATTAATTGATGGAACAAATGTTAAATAACTATTTGTCGATGAAAATGAAATATTTGCATTATGTTTGTTTTCACGCTTTCGTACAACTTTACGAACTTTTTTATCAACAAGTTTCCTGCCTGGAAGTTGTGTAGTACAATCATTGTGATAGATTAAAGGATGAAGACGATGGACGTGCCAAATCCATTCAATTTCCAATGGAAGTTTCAATTGTTGATGTTTGTTTTTCATGTTTTGTTGTGCCATTCGGTTACAATAATCATTAATAAAATGATCCAACAGCGGCCCTTCTTGTGACAATTCTGGTTGAGCAATCACTTGACGAAGCAGCAAGATGTGATCAACCAAGTCATGATACGAGATTCGAAATTTCTTTCCTTCCTTTGTTCGAATTCTTGCATCGAAATTTGGGATTGAACTTGACGGTGCACTACCCATTTCTTGTCAATGCTGTTGTTTAACTGTTTTGATGTACCTTCAAAAGATGAATTTCATGCATTTTATAAACTAGTTTATCATGTAAAATCGTCGTAACGCATTTGATAATGACTTAACTATGTTATCTTCTGTTCGCTGAAAAACAGAATAGAGTACGTTGCAGAGAAATCTAACGTTTAATGAATTATCTATATCTTATCATAGTGAGTCAAAGTTCATTTATCGTAATATTCTTTTAAATGAGTCATTATTTCTTCTCTTCTTACTCTGCTAGGTGTGACATAAAAGAATACTTAGTTACGATTAGAGTCGAGAATGATGAATCGTTGTTTGAAAGCAAATAACTTCTTTTATACAGAAATTGAAGTCGTTGATAAATATCAGAGTTTATTTTTTTACATCGAGAGAAAGAGCAACTCTGAAACACAGAAAAGACAATAAAATATCATTTGTAATGAACAGAACTAAGGAAGGACATGTACGCAAAACCATTAAACACTAACAGAGAGTTACTCTTGTTCGAGATAAGATAATAAACGTTACTTCCAAGTTCTAAACTCTCGCCGAAACAAATAGCATATTTCGGCGATTTACGAATACGTATTCTGCGATTCAAAGAGTGTTTTTTTCCTGATTAATTCTCGAAAATTAGTGCTTCCATTAGAATAAGCTTAAAAAAAATATTCTCAGCTTTGCGTAAAGTATTTTCAAATTTTGCAAAAATAGATAGAAATAAATAAGTGCTGCAGAACACAGACATGATCTTATTTTGTTGTATTTTTCTTGCATAGAAACACAAATCTCATCTTGTCTCATAGAATGGACGAAAATCATTGTTCTCTTCCAGGAACAAATGGATTTTTCACTATCCAGTATTGTGTCTGGAGAATGATAAAGAAAAAAATAGAAACGCAATCATTCATTCTTGCTTTGTATCAGCTTGTATCACTAATATTTCTTATGTAATTTGTTTTCTTCTCTCGTGTAGAAGTAACACATCAGACCTGTATTGCTCAAGAGTAAATGGAAAACTCTTAATAAGTTTAGAATCATTGTGCAATAAAGTAAAATTATGAAGACAACTATTTATCAATATAGATCGGACATTCTTTTTCAGCTAAGAACGCTCATCTTCATGTGTTTATCCAAATTGAAGCAAGAATAAGGCGAGAGCAAACTCTTTGTCTCTGTTGGCGACTAAAAAAATGCTAAATTTTCAACATTCAGTAGAAGGAGGATTCTGAGGTATTTGTGTCTATATGTTCACCTTGCAAGACGCGTTGTTGTCGTCGTTGAAAAACAATCCAAAATACAGCTGCCTGTGTCTTTGTACAAAGAGAGAATATAGGAAGAGAACGTCGACTGAATTCGTTGATACAAAAAGCGGAGTTGTAATAAAAAGAAAAAAAATTAATTGATTTCTTCTTTCTTGCTGAATTCAAATGGCATCGTAGCAGCGATGGTTGCTTTTGTGAACGTCAAGTAACATCGAAATGGGCTAATCGAAAGAAGATAAAACCATACACAGAAAAAAGAAATGTTTTACATCACAACATTACTACTACTGAGAAAGAGAGCCAAAAAAGCAACGGTATCGCCATTGTAAAATAGAGATGGAATCAATTCGATTCGATTTGGTTCTAGTTTGGCTTGGTTTGACAAACGATTGTTTCAAATTTGATAAGAAAAGCTAAAAAGTGCCAGTATACAAGTAGTTTTCCTATTCACGGAGGGTGTGGGTGTGGATGAGGAAGAGAAGGGCATATCCGTACCTACACTCAGCACCGACACCCGCACGCACCCACACCCTAATTCCCTGTGTTTATTATTTTAAACATTTTTTTTTAATAGACAAATTCGCATAGAAATATATCGAATTTGTATCATCAAAAAACAAACAAATCGTTTCAATCGATAAGAACACGATGTCATACTGAAATAGAATCTTTTTGAATTTAAATTAAATTCCTTCTGACAATACTGTAGTTTGATTAAGTTACGATAAAGTATGCGATTATTCAAGATAATAGTTTACTAGAACCGATTCAAACAAAAAAAGAATCAAATAGCACTCGAATATTCGATACATTAACCTATCATCTGATGAATACATATTGCTCTATAATTTTGATTCTATAAAATAATATCTAAGTAAGCATAGTATTTTTGTCTGATTGACTCCTTAGAAGTCTTTTAATTATGATGTTTTCTTCTGAAATGAATACAGATCTTTGTTTCAATGTGCATGTACTCATTATAATGCATTATTTCTCTTTCTGCAACAAGAACACTGCAGAGTTTCAAATTTTAATTCTATTTTTCACTTTTTCTTATGCGCTCAAATTTAGAATGTTTATTAAAGTTCATATAAAATACTAATTGACTGTTATCACAATAATAATTTTAGGACTCATTTTTGTTTTACGAATACAATAAAATTTATGAGAACAAAAAAAAAAAAAGATCGTACGATGATTGTTCTTTCACTTGTCAGTCGTAATTACATATGATAAGCGAAGAAAAAGTGATGTCAAAATAAATATTGAAGTGAAAGAGTAGTAATAAAAATAATAATAACGTCATATCTGTTTTTGTTTTCTCTTACACACAACAAATATAAAAGCAAATATCGAATTCATTCGTATCACATTCAACATACATTTCGAATAAAATGAATTTTGAATTATTACCCAATGAAATAATACTTGATTCATTCGAATATCTCTCTCTTATTCATCTTTATCAAAGTTTCTTTGCTCTCAACTCGCGTTTTAACAAATTACTTTGTCAACAATTTCAAAAATTTCATCTCGATTTACGATTAACATCAAAAACAAATTTTCATCAAGTATGTCAAAATTACGTTCTACCAGTTATTGATCGAATTATTTCTCTTTATCTTTCAAATGATGATAATACTCCACAACAAATTGAACATTTTCTATCTCATAATTATCAACTTCGTCAATTTATATCTTTAAAATCAATATCATTATCATGTCTTAGATCTCAGCGAACACTCAATCACATAATGGTTGAATGTTCTTATCTTCCTTGTCTCACCCATCTTACTTTGACTGATAGTCATGTATCAATGAGTGAAAATGATGCACAACGTTTGTTTGATCATATATGGAGTCTATCAAAACTAACTTACTGTTGTCTGGATAACTGTTTTGTTGATGAGAATTATTTTCCTAATCCAACAATTATTTCTACATCACTTAGACATTTAAATATTCGAAATATGACTTGTTCTTTGTCTACACTAACTCGTTTATGTCAATGTACACCTTCTCTCCAATATCTGTCAATCATGTTTTATGATGATTCTGATCAGTTGAACTCATTATTACCTATTCTATCAATTACTCGATTAAATATTTGCTTCGAAAGTTCTATAATTATCTTACAACATCTTTTACAAAATATGCCTAATTTATATCATTTAACGATAGAAACATATGATTTTCTTTTAAATGGAAATCAATGGAAAGAAATGATTAATAAATATTTACTTAAATTAAAAATCTTACAATTTAAGATAAGTTCTGTAGCCATTGGCGAATATGGAGAGATTCAATTCAATGAAATTCTTGATTCATTTCGAACAAAATTTTGGATTGATGAACATCAATGGTTTGTTCAATGTCATTTGCTTTGTCAATATATACCAGATACACGCTATTATATTAATATTTTTACTTTACCATATACATTTAAAGATTTTCCTGATGTTACAAATTGTATACTATCAAGATCGACTCGTCCATATGATAATGAATATTTGACATGCGATCGTGTGATTAATTTACATTATAAATCTTCACATTTTACAGTTTCGATCCTATCTCATGTTCGATTTTGTAATATTCAGTCTCTTTCATTATCATTACCATTCCATGATCTATTTCTATCAGTAGTTTGCAGACTTGATCGACTCATTTCACTCACCGTTTCCATAAGTGAAAATGAAAACCTTAATAATATTCAGTCACAACTACAACTCTTACTTGATCGGGCAGTTCGTCTTCATTCACTGCGTTGTTTTTATTGGCCATTATCCAATCATCAATTATTACTGATGGAAATTACAAGTACTTCGGTTCGTCAACTGGATTTACAAGGTTACAACTGTGATTTTGATGAGGAACAATGTATACAACTGAGTCATTCGCCCTTAGGTATTCAATGTGAAACACTTTTGATTACAGTTAAAAATCGAAGAAACATACTTAATCTTGTAAATAATATGTCTAATCTTCAAGCGTTAAATGTTCAATGTCTAGATGATAACTGGACAGATGAAAATAATTTAACATCATCGATAGATGATGAACTTGTCGAATGGTTACGTCAACAATTACCATCAACATGTACGATAATGAGAGATACGTTCCATGTTCATGATATTCGATTATGGATTCGTTGAAATTTATCTCGAAGAAAAAAAGCTAATCTCATTGATTATATATAAAATTTTTCTTCTTTGTGATTTTGCAGTTTCTTGTCATCAATAATTCGAATTGAAGAATACTTTGAAACTAGGATAAGCATATCTCAGATATGTATATCCCTGAAATCAACAAATTTTGTCAATCCTGGAAGATGCAGCCGTTCTGTTATTATCCAATCGTGTTTATTTACTTATGTTGAAGCCATAAATTGAGAATTTGACTTCTCTCAAAGAGAAAATTCAAAGAATTACATGTAACGTGTTCATAGTTTTTTTGCTCTGATTAACTCAGGAATTGTAACTTTTCTCAATAACTTCTGGGTGTGAGTGGAAAGGTCAATGTTCATAATCCCACACCAGAGATTTATTAATTATGACGATATTTCAGCGCATCCACGCCTGGACCCTTGTCTACAGCCGTACACAGACCAGTATCTACACCTACATTTTGTAGACATTGAGGAATCGTATGGAATTTGTTCTACAAAACTCATAAACTTATTGAAAAGTTTTAGTAAATTCCAAAAAGTAAGTGCCTCTAATTGATACTTTATAACAAGTCAATTGTATAGCCTTGTATTTATAGCTTCAAATTATCAAGCAGTTCAAAGAAAATTTATGAGCGATCTCTTCATGACATGATATTTCGAAGAAATCAAGAAGAAAATTTTATTTCTCATTTACATTTATAAAACTTTTGAATTTCTTGAATGTCGATGAGACTCAAAGTTTGTCGATCACCAATAGTAGCTTTGGAATCTTTTGGTATCATGGTCGGTTGTCCATTCGAACTGAAAGCTGTTCGACCGTAGTGCATTATACTGTCTGAAATTTGTAAAAATCATAATAATAAATCACAAAAAATTGGAATTAACTCGATCAATACTCACTGTAATCATAAGAAGTCCCTTGATTGTCACTGTTTTTTGATGTCAACTTATCGAACGCGTAAGCATAACCTATCATATATTTCCAGATAGAAACAGTTCAAATATAAATCGAAGATCTGCCATTCTGAATATTTGCATGGTTGATTGTCAAGAATGAATCTCGATCTGATCGTTGATGTTCGTGTTTGAATCCTACAAATATATTAAAGAGTTTAATATCAACTATAACATTTCGAATGAAAAATATTATCAAACAAGTCTATGCATATTTTTCTTAGCAGGAATTTATACCTAATGTATGTAACAGTTCGTGCATGATAGTTCCTTGTTGCATACAATGCGAACTTGTTGGTGACGTAGGAACTTGCAATGTCAATTCCAATTGACCACGCCATCCTGTGTTTTGACCGACCTAAAGAAGTGTAGCGATGAGATGCAGAAACGTTTATCACTGTTTAAGCGAACGAAACTATAGAATTGAACTCTTTCTGAAATTAAAAAAAAAGTATCATACATGTGACGAGCAGCCAGCGCCTGTTTTAATTAAGATTGAATATTGATCTTTGGAAACCTTTGGGCGAAATTGTACACATTTACGATTATTGATGGTAGTCAATCGTTCTATATTTCTCATAGCATCAGCTATAAGTGCTTGTTGTTGAGCAGCTACATCGACGAGAAAAATAAATAAATTTATCAACATCAGTTAATAAAATGAATTTTTTTTACTGAAATCAGTCGACATAACATAAGGTACAATTCCATTTGTCCATCGAGTTCCGGTTGTACTCTGTGCAACACCACGTTGCATATTCTACAGTAATCAATAGAGATTCACATAAGAATATTAGTTGTCAACAACCTACTTCAATAGGGAAAATCATGTCGCCTCCAACTAAATATTCACCATCTTGCACTATAAAATTTAACGAACGACTGAAATAACTTTACAATTGATTCTATACTAACCTTGAACAGGTAACAGCTAAAATATCACAAAGTGAATATATAAATATTTATATTCAATTCAGATTCCTTACCTGCTCTGATGGATATGCAGAAATCAAAGCCATTACTATTTGAAGAATGGCCCAACAATTGATGATGCTTAGTTTCAAGACAGTCATTTTCCAATGATGAAAGTAAAAGCGAATGCAATAACAAGTTGAGAAAGAGTACAGTATTTTATTAATGGCCATGAAACGATAAATCCCTGAATGAAACTTTAATCTTTTCTAATTGAAAATGGCTTACTTGAAAGTAATCCAGCTAGATACCTCTCAATTGGAAAAATAAAAAGACACACTGAAATGTAATTAGCGAAACCAAAGCTGGGTGGAGGGATAGCATTGTCAAAAATACAACCTGTTTTGTGCAAATCAGTGCATGTTTGTGATCAATAAAAATTAATCATCAAAAGGACGATAGTATGTGTATGTTTGAATAAAGCTAACATGATCACGATTTCGTCCCTTAAGAAAAGGACTCCTTAGATGGCTGACGGTGAGGATTCTATCAATTTCCAGAAAGACTGTTTTGACAAGTTAGAAATTTCTTGAAGATTTTTCGAGACAAGTTGGCTTCTATTTTGTGCATCACTTGCAAAAACCGAAATGAATTCGTTAATTTCGATTCAATTCACTTGGATTCAATGATTCATTTTCCATCGATAGAAGCATTCGAAAGAGCACAAGTGGATTCTTTACAATATTGACATTACTCGAAAACTATGTTGAACTAACTATCAATGATAAAATTTTGCCGATAAATAATATAATTGTATCATTCATTTTGGATCAAACATCGCACTAAAGCTAATTTGGTAGTATAGAAATAACGTTGGGATTGAATAGTTAACAAACTGTGTATTAGTGTTAGTAGCGAACGAGGATATTGACAGTAGAGAGTGTAGATGAATTTATTTCCATAGCAACTCCATATTTATGACATTAACTAATGTTATTTTCTTTTAAAACGAGTTACATACATCTTCCAGTACTTTTTTTCTGTTTTTTTGGCTTTTTTTGTCTCATGTAACAAAATAAACTAGTATTCAATCAAAGACAATTTATCTTCATCAAAAGCAACAGAATGTAGGAAAAACAAATCGATTTATTTTAAAGGATAGATCGTTGTATGTATGAAGATAATGCATAATATGTACATGTCACTAAATTCAACAAAGCCCATGTTGAAGATTTGATTCTACACCGCCATTTACAAATTTGATGACAGCTTTGGAGCCACTCGCAATACTTCTATATTGAACTATTGTATATGCCTTTGATTCGAACATCTCATTTTCTGGTGAACCAACTGTTGCTGTCACTTGACTTCTTGATCAGAAGAGTTGAATAGAATCGTATTGAGCTCGCGTGATAGTATCATTGCATCGATGAAATCATCTAAATAAACAGGGTTGACCAGGCTGGCCGGAAGATCCAATTTCTTTTTTATCGTTCTGCTTCTATAATACATTAGAGAATTATGATGTTTTAACTGGTTATAGTACTCATATAATGCTAATGATCGGTCAAGTCCAACGGGACTATACCTTGTTTGAAACCAAAATAATCAAAGTTATCAAAAAGTCTGTTCATAACTAGCAAAAGATTTTTTGAAGACTTTGATTAGTTTGGTTTAAAACAAAGTATAGACCGGTTAGACTTTACCGATCATTAGCATTATGTGAGTACTATAACCGGTTAAAAGAATCAGAATTCTCTAAAGTATTATACAAGCAGGACGATAAAAAAGAAATTGGGTCTTCCGGCCAGACTGGTCAACCCCAAATTTAAAAAATGACGATAGAATGAATTCTTTTATCGACAAAACGTATTTATATTGAAAAGAATGTATATTTAGAGTATTAATTGGTCAAGAAAAGTGAGCTTGACATTTCCTGCTCACTTTTCTTTTCATACTAATTCGTTAATATTAGAGCGGTCTTTGATACAAAATAAAACTATCAACATCGCACAAAAATCATGTCGACAAGATATCAGAGAGTAAAAATACTTTATATGGTACGTATCTGCTATTATGATAAAAGTTACAATAGAAATTTAGACCCAGGACACTGATGAAAAAATTAGGTTACTTTTGAATTTGCGCAGTTTCAAATTCGTTATTCTCAACCGCGTTAATTCACTTTTTTATATATGTTTTATCATCGAACGACAAAACTAATAAAATTACTAGTTTCTTCACTTACGTCTTGAATGCATAAAAACTTGAAAGTAAATATTTATGAGAATAGAGAGCATAACATGCGAATGCCATTCAAATAGGTAATTATGGAGCTTATGCATCATTCTACCTTACATTTCAGATGAATCAATAATCATTATGCTTGATGCATCATACAAAATCACAACTCATACATATAAAGTATCTACAATACGCCTACACGAATTTTACTACAATATAGTGTATTCATGAGGCCTTAATTTTAACTATTGAATTATGAATGTTGAAGGTGAGAGTGTTGGTGTGATTGTATCTATTGATAACATTCACACTCACACTCTCTCTTTTTGAAACTGATCAAGAAAGTTTTTTCGACTTGAAATATGATACAATATATAAAGGAGAAATAATTCTTAAGTTTAAGTGTTCTAGAACCACTTCAAATGTTAATGTTAAATTTTGAGAATATTTTGTCAGCGATCTTTCGCTTTTCATTGTTTCTTCTGAACTTGCAGAGAACTTAGAATATTATGACTATATTTGAGCTTCCAAAAATATTTTTTTGATAATGGCAATTGTCAAAATTTAGCACATTGCTTTTTCTTATCAGATCATATTTACAGATCACTGACATGGAAATCTAGATACTCATTCAACATTGTGAAACATGGCATATGGTAGAAAACTGAAAAAAAAAAGAACATCACATATAACTGTTTACAATTTCTCTTCTCATTCATCAAACTCATCAGAATATACTTGAACTTGAGATCATATGTTTTGGTTCTATTTTCACTGTTTCCTATGGTATAAAAAAAAGGGCAAGTTATTCCACTAATGCATAGAAAATAAAAGCCAAAAATTCGAATCAATATTCAATGACAGTTATCTTGAAGGATTTGTCCATTAGCATTATTACAGCTATAGAAAGATTTCCTTGTGTATATGGCTATTCAAACAAAATACAAGTGTTGTTGTTTATTCGGATAGGAGATCCGACTGTTTCTTGAACAAATGATATCAAAATCATATATAAAAGATGATCTCTAATCATCAGAAAGAATCAGAATAATAAATAATTCATCGACACTAATATTTGAAATGCTATGATTTTTATTACTAAATACTAAGTGTACTACATCAGTTCAACTATTTAATTCTGTTCAACAGAAGATGCTTTAGATTTGATAGCGTTGTGGTGCTACTTGAATTAATTCATCAAAGATTTGACGAATTGGTAGGCTGGCAAGGCCATCAACCGTTGATTGTGAAATGGGAAAACTCCAAAATTTGAATAGTGAAACCAAATTAAAGCCTACTTGACGCGAGAAGGTTGTGATCCAGTGATCTATCTTCTCTTGATCACTATTCAGATTCAGTTTTGTTTCTTCATATTGACGAAAAACAGCCTTTTAGCTGTTCCAACCAAATTCTGTTGCTAGTTGTGCGTCAGATAAACAAGCGAACGCCGGCAGTTGCTTTCCATTCATCGAAACGCGTTCCTTTCTGAATACTCTGTTTCGTCTTCTCTATTTTATCGGTGAGTCAAGGATGAATCCATGGTTGAATCTTACAAATAACATCCATGGCGTGTAAAGAGAAAATATTCACAGTCACTTCACTCGCAAAACTGAAATCTAAACAAAATCTTTTTTTTTTCAAAACATCTAAGTGTATACAAGTAATTTTTACTCCACCAGTAGCATTGCATATTATGACAGAGTTCATGAAAAACACCCCAATAGTCATTGTTTTTTAGATAATCATTATTCAGTAAGAAATAATCAACTTTTGGATCAATTACATCCAAATGAGTGACAACTGGATAGCCACTATCCAAAATGAATTTATGCATTTTGGCAATCAGGAAACTCATATCAGAATTAAGTTATTCTTACACATGTAGTCAGCCGATGGTTGTTCATCGGATACGATACGTTCCCGACGTCCCTGTGTAGTACCTCGCAATTCCTGGTGAGCCACTACTACGGAATCGTAGAAACGAAGAGCTCGATCTAATACAGCACTGTCTAAATGGCGCATGCTTTGCGACGGAAGATTGAAAACAATGTATTGGCCAGCAATATCTCTGTCCATAGACCCTGTGCACGAACACGTAGATCTTCCCAACGTTCTACTCGATCCGAATCCATGAGATCGTAAGTAGGTGTTAGAACAACATTCTGAAGACTAACACTAATGGAATTCGATTCACCAGCAGGACTCTCAAGAAAGAGAAGACCACCAAAAGCTGAACTCATTTGAACAGTAGTACCAGACAGCGATTTGCATGTAGAAATGCAGTGCCATCGACGTAATTCATTGCAACTCTAATGAATTACGAATATGTGTTGATATGAAGAAATATTTTGTATGAATACATACCACGAGATCATCACTATGACAACCAATTCGAGCTGACCATCCACTTGCACCAATTTGTTCTGATACGACGATTTGTATAGTAATACCCGCAGGCACATAGTATCCTAAAAGAAAGGTAATGAACTTGATATCGTTCCAAGATCTTTGGACAAAGAATAACATTGTAACCATTGTATCCTTTCATGATTTGAGGATTTTCAAACATACCTATGCAATACCATTCATTGGCCGCCTTTGACTGAATATCAACCGTGACATCTGTTTCAATACACGGTGAATCATCAAAATCACTAGGAAATTCCTTTATACATAAGATTGACATATATCTTACTGTTTCTCGTTAAATGTAACCATACTCATCAGGAGCTTTAGTATCAGATAATCCACATAAAATACCACACAGACCGATCGATCGTTGTCGAAATGATTTATCTTTAATTGGAGATACTTTCGTTGGGATAAAATCATTTCCAGCATTCAGAATCATATTTTGTAGAGTTTCAATCGATAAATCAGGCAACGTATCGCCTAGTTCCTTGATTGTCGATCCGATGATAGCCAGATATTCGCCATTATTCGGTTCGCTCGCCAGTGCCTGAGCAACATTGGAAACATTTTTGAATTTGATCAAATCAGGTTTAAATGGAATTGAATTATCACAACCAGCCAAATTACCGGTCACTTTGACACCAACAGAATCACAAAAACGATCAGCTGTGAAATCCGAAAGCGATTTCTCCTTATTGAAGTATAACCAATTCCAGGGAGCTACTCCGCAAACCAGCGCTCCACCTTCTTCTAAAAATGTACGCTAGTAATACACAAATATGCAACATATTCTTAATGACAAAAAAAAAGACATGGTCCTATTTACCAAGTCGTCCATGAATGCATCGCTTTTTTAAGACAACTATCGACGACAGTTTTCAACAAAACGCTGGTCTTGAAAGTCATTAGCAAGGGAAAAAGCAGAATACTCTTTATTTCCCAATACCAAACATCGACCATTGCCAACTCGAACGGCGACAATGGCAACCTTTGTAGAGTCAACACCACATACTACAGCGCGTATATCGTTCGATACCGGAATGAGAGCTTCAACAAAACGAATGTACTTGACAAATGTAACGTCTTGGAATAAAGTTTGAGGTACTTGATTGAATTCCTTGTCGTCTATATTCTTGTTTCGTTGTTACCTGGTCAAGAAATAATTATGTTCATTCAAAACATAAACGATGTAATGTGATCATTTGCTTACCTTCGCAAATAGTATCAATCCGAATGATTCAAATAAAGAGAAGAGAAAGAATACTATTACGCCAATATATATACACCATCGTTTAATGAGTATCGCACATACTTTTTATTGCTGGCTTATTCTTTTTTTTTTTTTTTGCATTCATATTTTTTGCATTTTGTCCTTGTAGAGTGTATGAATATGACAAGATATAATGAATGTAAAGAATAAATATGAGATCCTGGTGAATATCAGCAATATCAATATTTTATCTGATTTCGTTTAATTTTACCAAAACGAGAGAATCATGATAAATAAGCATATCAAATGTGTATATATGATTTAGTATCAATCTTGGTAGTTATCCGCTAAAGTGAGTAATTGTCATTTCCAATTAGTGTCGCCAGTTGAGATGATGAACATAGTAAATATGGGTGTTAGGAAAAAGCTATCTTATTCGTTCTTTCTTTCTTTCCAGTACTATTTTGACAGGAAATTGCAAGAAAAGTACGGAGAAAATAATTCTGTCATTTATGTATCCGTTTCTAACTCGTGTTTTCATACATTAGTAAAAAGAAATTCTAACGATAAATTGTATACAGTATATATGTTACAGGAGAGTTTGGAATTTAGTTGAAATTGGAAAAGTATAAAATTAGAAACATTGCTAGAACAGTGAATACCTTGTTTCTTTTTCTAGAATGAATATAAAGTTCATCATAATTTTTCTAATTATGGGAATATGCTAACAATGAATCATTGGTTAAATTTGATTGACAAAAATGTTTTTTTTTCTCTACAGTGAGTATTACTTGTTAACGATTTTTTGATGACGGGGAATATACTGACTTTAAATCATTGGTTACAATTTATTGAAAAAGAAATATGTTTTTTTTTTGTATAATGAGTTTTACTTTTTAACGACTTTTTGATAATGGATATATGCTGACATTGAATCGTTGATTACATTTGATTGAAAAAAAAAACTATTTTTTTTTGTGTCATGAGCAAGAATCGTTTTCTATAGAATGAGTATTACTTGTTTACAATGTTTTTTTCGATAGTGAGGATATGTTGACATTGAAAGATAGATGAAACTTAAAATAAAAATTTTTTATGGTGTTTTTCGTTTTGAAGGAGCAAGTATGTGTGGTAGCGATTCTTAAAAACAAGGATGCATAGTATCATATGTTTGTTTTATAATTATGATATCAAAGTATAATAAATTATTGTAATCACTCAGCAAATTTGTCTAAATACTATCATCAATGGTATATGATGCCTAATTATTCTCGTTGAATATTGCGATCGGACTTTCCGATAGAGCTGTAAAAAGATCCAGAGAAACAGGTTGTCTAAATTAATCGCTTTCGCTGATTAGTAAAGCTTTATTCGGGGGTGGGTGTGGGTGTAGTGTTGGCGAAGAAAACTCACACCTACACCCAAATCTAAGGCTTACTGTAAAGATATCATTTTTTATCCGTCTACTGCCGTTTACGGACTGTCTTTTCTGATCTGGGTTGCTTTGTAGAGAGCAACAGATAATGCCGCTGCTCTATTGGTATCCGTGATAAACCAATGTTTATTGGAGAGGCACCACTTTCCACTGTCCCGCTAAAACAAGAGGAGCGCTAGTAATCTGGCGACGCCACTAGCAGAAAGTCTGAAATTTTGAGAAGAAAGCCCCTCCCCTGTCTCTCTTCCTAATCGGGAACCCTGGTTACCACTAGATCCTTCTCCAAGAACGAATATTTGAAAGATAATATCGAAAAAAAACATCTGATCAGTGAAACTTCTTGGAGAGCGCGACAACTAGACTATGACGTCATATTATTATTCATTCGTTTTCCTTTCCTTCAAGAAAACGAAGTAATGATTTTTCTTCTTCCGTTCTGTTTTTACTTTTCTACAGGTAAAAACAAATCATCGTGACAAAAACGTCTGCATATACACACATTGATTAGACACAAATCTACAAAACTTTCCAACATAGAACATCATCACCTACAATGTCATGTAATATAATTCCATCAATTGACATTTTACCCGTTGAAATTCTTCATCGTATTTTTGATAATCTTGATGCTCAAACTATTTTATTTTCAATTCGACCTGTGTGCCGATTATTTCGAGCAGTTGCGAATACTTATGATCGATATGTTTTTGATTTTAAATTCATTTCAAAGTCAAATTTTCATCTACTTTGTCGATTAATTAATCCTCAAAATATTATATCATTAACACTTCGTGATAATGAATATACACCAGATCAAATAGCATTGTTTATTTCATTAGTTCGTCTTCGACAATTGACTCGACTTCATTCAATAACTTTTCTTGGTATTGAAGAATTTCAATTGAATATGATTTTAAAACGTATTGATCTAAATTTACTTATTTCATTTTCATTGAATATTCGAAAATATGATGATAGACGAAAAAAGACAACATTATCTTTTCTTTCATCAATTATGGCACAATCGAATCTTCGAAAAGTTGAATTAAATATGAAAAGTAATCGAATATCTAATATATCATGGCCTTTAAAATGTGGAATCACATGTTTAACTATAGATGAACATATTCCTTTTGATGATTTGTGTAGAATTCTGTCCTGTTCTCCTCAACTTCATACACTCATTCTGAGACAAAATTTATCCATTATGATCAATAAAATAATTCTACCATCTTCTTTTTCACAATTAACTTCGTTAACTGTAGAACAATTAAATGTAACAATAGATAAACTTGAATCATTTCTTTCATTGACACCATCACTTATTTATCTAAAATTGATTGGTGACGGATCTGTATTTGATGGCAAGCGATGGGAACAATTCATTCAGATTAATCTTTCTCATTTGGATACCTTTGAATTTTTTATTAGTATTGAAATGTTAACTAATCAAACTCGTGAAGATCTCGAATTATTAATTGAACCATTTCGAAGTCCATTTTGGATTGAATACAAAAAATGGTTTATTGCATGTGAATTCAGTATGAATCGACCAAATAGAATTCAAGTTTATTCAATACCAATCTGTAAATCTTTTCTTCACTATGAATTAGGTTCAGAAAAATTTTTTTTATCTACTTCTTCGATGTCGTTGTACCATGATCCACCAATACTGAATAATATCAAGGAAATTAATTTATCTTGGGAAATGCCAATAAGTAATGCTTTTACACAAGAAGTATGTTATTCGGATAGTCGCAGTTATCTCGAGTTACCTTATCAATATTTCGAATTTGAGTTTATTACACATGAATGAAGGTAGCACTCGATTCGAGTAAAATTTGAGTCAATTCGCTTGAGAACGTATTCTCAGTGTTCCAGACAGATTCCAAGTTGAATTCAATGAGCTCTATCCAACAGTGTGATCAGATTTTTCATAGTTCAAAGTATGGATCTACAAATCCCAAATTACTGGCTTTTTTTCTATTGAAAGTCTAGCACTTGATTTGCGTAAAACTTGCGCCGATTCGCTTGAGAACATTTGGAACATGTTCTCAAGCGAATCGGCGCAAGTTTTACTCGAATCAAATGCCAACTTCACTCATGTGTTTATTACTAAGATTGCCATTTCTTATTTGATCGAATTATCTAAATTTGATATGATTTAGTGTATAGCTCTCAGGCAATTGCTAACGGTCGTTCTTAGGATAGTGAAAAGTACTGCTTATAATGCGTATAAGCGCTTCGCTATAAGATGGCTTTATATAGCCGTTTCTATATCGTGATCTACTCCTTACAGCTGCCTCTGGTTATGGCTTCTTGCATAGTCTCATCTATTTAGAGTATTTATTTTCAAATATCTTGCATTAGACTTGAAAAATAGTGATATCTTGAATGATTTTTAAGATCAAGACTAAATTGAGGTATTTTTCCTATGTATAGCGATTACTTATTATGGAGCCACAATGGATGAGAAATATACTAGGCGTTGTAGATCTTGCTCATGACTTAACAGTGGCGTTACAATTGATTGCCATGAAATTTAACAGAAAGATTTTTTAGAGGGTATTTTAATTTCATCGGATAAACCTCAACCAAAGCTATCGACTGACATGTAAAATGATTCGAAAAAGCCAATAGAAACTTCTTATTAATAGAAGAAGAGAAATAATGCTAAGAAGTAAGAAAAGAAAAAGAGCTGTGTCTATCACAAAATCGCTTGTAGATACAACATAAAGTCAGCAATTTGGTAGCACCAGAGAGAGCTCAACAAAATCTTTGTCTTTCATATTTCAGGTTATATTGTATTGGAATAAAATATTCTATCCTAAAACGTTCCCAAACATTTTAATGTCGACTGAAGACCATTGTTAATAGAAATATGAGCATTTTTTATGCCCATCCATCATTAACTCTTGATAATCCTGAGTGATTGACATTAAAGAAACTCAAGTCTATTTTATTTGAAAATGATTATATAAGAACTATTAATTGAATTTTGTTGAATTGAAGTTTAAATTTTATATTTTTATTTAATTTTAGGCATTCAAAAGAACCAGCCCTTTGTTTCCAAAGGTAACTAAACTTCATATCGGCATTACCATGAACTATATAGGAAAAAATCCTCGAGCTTTAAAAAAATTTCTTACATCAATAATCGATGTTTCACAATTAGTTGAAGTCAAATTAGAAATTTATTGTCTTTTCGACGATAAAAAAACGTTATGGTTTCACATGATGACTATTATTAAACAATCACATAATCTTTCCTCTTTGATAATACATAGTTGTCTTCCCAAATACGAATTATATCCATTTCTGGATAATTTATGTTCAGTTATTCCACGTCAAATCAGACATTTACAAATACCAATTAATAAATTAGATCAAATTAAAATCATTTTAGAACGATGTCAAGATCTCTCAGTTGTACAATTTGAGATAACACGTTCGAAATTTTCCGAAGAAGTTATTCAATGGTTTACTCAGAATACTATTGACTCAACGTTTCGGAGACGTGAGAGATATAATACTATATGGATTGGAAAGAAAACAAACGAAATCAGTATTAATCACAAACGAATAAAATTAATTGACGACAATCAATTCAGTTTTTAATATATTTTATTTTCTCATATTCTAATATCTAAATAATCAAGAGTTCTTTTCGAATTTAATAAATCTTGATTCATCGTTTACATAATAAGAACTTGCAAGACGGGTTCAAGTTTTTGTGGATAAAAGAAACTTTTTAGGTTTCTTATCAAAAACATATTTACACTAATTAATATTTTAGAAGCAGTGGTTAAAACATCTGTAAAATCACGTACAATATATATTTTGTAGATCTCACAATTGAAGGGTGTGGGTGTGGGTGCGGGTGCGGGTGCGGGTGAATCAAAATAAAATCCATACCCACACCTTGCTTATCAAAGAACTTCTTTTGATCTCTTAAATTACTCAACATTCAAGCTTAAATAGTGCCATTCATACTTAGGGTATACCAAAAGTTGTGGCCACGACGTTTAAAGAACGTTGTCGCATAAAGTGTTCCATTCAAAAGTGAAAAACCAAATATATCATGTTGTAGAACTTTTTGAGGCGCATCGAATGGTATATAGGAAATCTTATTTTCATAAGACTTTGAAGGGGCTAGAATCAATTTATTGATAGATGATTACACATTCACATCCACAAGATGACCAGAGATGCTACGTATATGAGGTTACAGCTTGTCAGAAACTCTACGAAATCGTATGCAAGAACCCAAGCAGACCCTAAAAAGCCAACGATAGGTGCGACGAGTGGTCGAAACTTAAATATATATCAGCTTGTATGCGTATCGTGTCATCTCTATGATCGAGAGTTCGAAACCAGTATCTTAAGAAATCATTATTGCCATATTGTAGAGCATGGTCGAAAGTGGAGAGAAACTGATTTCATTCCGTGAATAAGTGCATTAAATTGCATTTGATAATTGGTAACACAGTGACTACTAATGGACAAAAAAGTTCCTCTATTTAGAGCATGAGTTCACCTAACACGTATATCTTAACAGTCTAGCATGTACAAAGTTGATTGAGACCAATTAAGACTATGATACTAGATGTATATTTTCCCATAATAGTGAGTTTCCCATGTGCTATACTTTTTTGCAGCGAGCTTAAGTAAAACGACCCTATATATAACGTCATCGCGTAATGAAAAATGAGTATTTTTTTTCACCTTTTGATCTTCACTTCTATTTTTACAAGAAGTATATATCTAAAGCCAGTTTTTCATGGGCTATCTGATGAGCATATTTTTATCCGAAAAAGATTGTGTTTTAAAATTATGTTACGTAACGCGATGACGTGTTTTACTGTTTTCTACGTTTTTTCATATATGCCAAAAAACGTTTTCAGACGGTAATTTATTATTCAAAAATCATTGCAAGATGTGAATAATGCATCTTTTTATTGATTACTAACAAATTGTTATAAGTATACAAGCGATTGGTCTAACAAGTTGATTGCATTCAATTGAAATTAAATTACTAATCTAAATCATCTTTCGTTTCTATGATATATATATGTAAGGTCGAAAAAACTCAAAATTTCAGTTAACATGTTTTTCGCAATGATTTATATATGATTGGATGCTGACATCATTCTATACGAAATGGTCTCAGTATTTTGATTTTTTAAATGTATATAAAAGAGGGAAAAGGTTTAGAAATACAGTTTCTCACACAGTTTTTTGAGTTCTATCCAACCATATATAAATCATCGAGAAAGAATGTTAACTGAAATGTCGAGCTTTTTCGACCTTATATAGAGGGTGTGGGCGTGGGTGTACATTTTCATTACACCCACATACCTATTGAAAAGCATAATTTCGATCGTTCGTTTTAACTCTGATTTCTAAAAACATCTCAGAAATTCAATTTTTGAATGATTTTATTTTTACTCTCATTGTATGACCCCTTGGAGAATTTTTGTTTTTTGCAGATGCTTTTACATTGTTTCATCATTTGAACAACATTATTTATCATCTACAACAAGAACAAATATAGAAATATGTTTACAGTCGTGAGAAAAAAATAATCATAATGAATTCAGCTCCATAGCAGCGCAAATGTCCTGTGCTCTTGACTAACTCTGATTTTTGATTGTTTGTTGACAAAAAAAGTTCATGGGATCATTTAAAACTATCAGTTTATCTTTTAGTCCTTGAAATTGCTGAGATAATTGAATATTATAAATATAATATGGATAGATAAGGCGAGTTTGTCTGATTTTAGTTTCAATATTTTTTTATTGTTTTTTTTTACATAATCTAATTAACTGTAATTAATTTATGCTTTAGCATAAATTTTTTATTTAATACGAAAAAACTGATAACAGATAAAATTGCTTTTATTTAACATCAACAATAGTAAAAAAAAATATATATATATATATATATATATACTGCCAGTTGCTGTTGAAAAAACTCATCAAATTTATTTTTAGAGGAAATAGAAATATAGAAGTTAAACATATTTCACGATGATACTTAGATTTATCTCAAATTAAAACGTTATTTTAGTTCATCTGATCTATGCAAGCAATACAATCGTGTAAGTACATGTGTTCAAATCTCCTCTTTTGCAAAAATATCCAATGGGCACCGAGGGCTCGAAAAAACATGAGAGAGAAGAAACAAGAATTTTTTTAAAAATTTTCCAGAAATATTGAGCCCTCGCAATGCCTTACAAATCGAATCCATCGAAACTCATCAAGAAAAGTCCTTCGATGAGCAGTGAAGTGCTATCTCGACACGTCGAAGTGCCATTTTTCGATAGGCCGAGAGGACTATGGTGGGTAAACAATTCTTAATTTTATCAACCTATCAGATGGTTCAGATCGATACCTCGAAATACCCATCGAATGACTGCTTGGAAAAGCATGTTTTACAGATATTTTGAGTGTGAGTATGGATGTGTTGTGAAGATAGTATTATTTATTCACCCACACCCACACCCCATTTCTCTTCGAAGTTGTTCTTAGAATGAAGAAGGAAGTGATTGATTTCTGCTTGCAAAGGTAGAAATAGTTTATAGTTTCCAGCGTAGGTGGATTCAATTAAGGACGGCTGTTATTTTAAGAAAGCATTTCTCCTTGACTTTGTGTGAGGTGAACTATTTCTGTTGGAAATAGAACAATTTCTCTGTTTTAGGAGATATTGTCCAGCCTTCACCGGATGTATCTTTTGCTAGAAGAAAAACTTCATAAAAAACTGACCAGTTATTGATCAAAATAAGTGAAAAAGAAGCACAACAGCACAAATAAATCCAAAGAGAGTTCGCTTTGCTCGAAATGCGGACGAATTGATAACATTGGTATCGAAACATTGAAAGAGTGTCGTGTGTATATTTGCGATTATCATAGAAACTTCTTTCGACAAATCAATCGGCTGATTAGCGTCTCCATTGGAGAGAAGGATTACGCCGATGGTGTTCTTCTCATTGATCCGCATCAAATGTTGCACACCCGGCACTCCACCACTATGTCCAAAGTATCGATGACCATTGCTCAACGTTAGCCAATACCAACTAAGTCCAAACTTTGGTAGTGGAGGTAGCTCTGTAGAATTACTGCTTAAGTCGGGAATGTAATAAGGAATGAGACCGCCGCCAACTACTATTCGCAGTTCGGCAATGGACCGAGGAGTAAGGATTGACGAACCATTGTTGATGATCATACGAAGAAATACAGAGAGAAAACCAGCCGACATGCGAAAGAGACCAGCAGGATAGGCTCTGAAACTAAAGAATGGAATGTGTAGCCATGTTGGAAGATTTCCCTAGAAAGATAATTATTCAATCAAATGAATGCGATGTCGTCAAGATATTGACACATTTATCGGAATCTGTGTGATATTGAACCGTGGCAATTCTTGATGCCACGCTGGAAGAAAGGATTCATTGAAAGCATATACATAATGCTTAACGAGCTCTTCTTAGTTTTCAAAATCGGTTAGACGAACGCCAGTTTTGCGAATATCAATATTTAACGGTTTCAAAATATATTCTTTGACATATTGATCATAATGAATTTTTGTTATACGTTCGACAACTAATGCAGCCAAAGATGAACCTTCATTGGAATTAGGGGTGTTACTTTATTTTTATTTTCTTTATAATAAAGAATAAAGATAAAGAAAATCTTTATATATAAAAAATAAAAATAAAGAAATTAAAAAATCTTTATTCTTTATAAAATAAAGATAAAAGAAATCTTTATATTTATAAAATAAAGATAAATAAAATCTTTACTTTATAAAATAAAAATAAAGTTTTTCTTTATTTTGAAAAATAAAGATAAAATAAAGAATAAAGAATTTTTTTCCTATCAAAACATTTTTTTTTAATTTTGTTGAAGTACCTCACAAAAAATGATTATATTATACAATTAAATATAATATGCAATAACATTTTTTGCATATATCGTTTCATGAGTGGTCCTTATTTTTGATGCTATGACATACGGAAGTGATGATAGTGGTAAGAAAGGACACTAGTTAACATATTCTGTTCTTATACAGGGTATTTGCATATGTACCTATTACATGAAAAAAATATATCTCTATTCTTTATTTTAACTTTATTTTTACAAATAAAGATTATCTTTATCTTTATTTTATAAATATAAAGATTTACTTTATCTTTATTTTATAAAAAATAAAGATTTCTTTATTTCTTCATCTTTATTTTTTAAAATAAAGATTATCTTTATTCTTTATAAAATAAAGATAAAGTAAACCTTTATCTTTATTTATAAAGTAAAGGTAAAGTAACACCCCTAATTGGAATAGAATGTTACACTGCCTGGTGGTTTTGGCAACCAGTTCGATGTGTTAGAATTCAAATATGTAAAACACATGTCAGCCAAAGCTGTTGGGGAAGTGAATGCAGTATCATCTGGTTGAAAGAAACTGTTCAATGTTTGATTCTTAACATCGATTGAAGCTGAGTGCGAAAGTAACTTACGTAGAGTGATCGAATGCAAAGGATACTGTGGATGAAAGATTGTTCGATTGGGTTCCGATAAGTATTGATTGACGTCTGTATCTAGGTCAACAAGTTCTTTCTCAAC